GTTAGTTGGCGTTGTGATACTACGGGGAGTCGTATTATCACTAGTCAGAGGCTGTCGTAATGTTGCGGGAAGCCATAGTACCCACTAGATGGAAAGAGAGTATGATGATCGAGTGTTCTTCGATAAGTGCGTGATGCAGAAGAGTTTTAGGCTTGAGTAGCCCTAGTGTCGAGTTTATGGAGCCTAGTGGTTAAACCGGGGCGAGACTGGGGTCTCCGTCTCTGTCGGGAGGGTCAGCGAGGCGCGCGGGAGAATATGCGCAGCAGACGCCAGAGGTTAGAGCTGAGTTGATCTTCGATTGGATTGTGTTTTTTTTTATGAGGGAAAGGGAATTTCGTGACTTGCGTGTCACTGGGTCATGATAGTGGTCAAGGGGAGGAAGTTAGTGAGATATTTTGGATCATGTTATGTGTGACCTTTGGGGGTTCAGCTGTGGGGCCAAAAGCTAACCTGGTGCTCGGTATCGAAGATGAATATGAGAAATGAGCTAGAGTTTGCCATGGTGATGTCTGTGGACACTTCGGAGCGAGCGAACAATTCAGACGCTCGAGGATATGCTTCGGGCATGTGTATTAGATTTCGGGGGGGGGGGGGGATTGTGGCCCTGTATTTGCCCTTGGCAGAGTTTTCCTACAACAACAGCCATCATTAGTGCATCAATATGCCACCCTTTGAGCTGTTGTAGGGAAGGAGGTATCGGACCCCATTTGTTGGGGAGAGGTAGGGCAACATGGGATGGGAAGTACAAAGATCGTGCTTCAGATGTCAGAGCAGATACAACAGGTCAGGAAGAGATTGTTGACCACTCAGAGTCGCTAGAAGAGTTATGCGGACAGGCACCGGTCCGAGCTCGAATTTTTGGTTGGTGACTTTGTACTCCTGAATGTCTCTCCTTGGAAAGGAGTGATCCAATTCAGGAAGAGGGGCAAGTTGGGGCCCCGATATATCGGTCCTTTTCGGGTGATCACGAGGGTAGGCAGGGTAGCCTACTGGTTGGAGCTACCTGCAGAGCTAGGTTAGATCCATGACACTTTCCATGTGTCGCAGCTGCGAAAGTGTATAGCCGATGAGTCGACAGTAGTGCCATTAGAGGATATTCAGGTGGATGTGGGCCTGAACTACGTTGAGAGACTGGTGGCTATTCGTGATCGAAAGATCAAGGTTCTGAGGAACAAAGAGGTGCCTCTGGGGCAGTTTTAGTGGCAACACTGGAAGGGGTCAGAGCTTACTCGGGAGCCGGAGCGCGAGATGCGTGAGCAGCATCCGGAGTTGTTTCCAAAGTGAGACTTCGAGGGCGAAGTCTGATTCTAGTGGGGGAGAATTGTAACATCCTGATTTCCCAGGTATATTATTTTATTTAATTATTTTGGAGTGTGAGGAGGAACTCGGGGAGTTGGAGCCAAGACTCGCCGAGTAGGGTCGCGGACGTTCATCCGGGTTCACATCCGGACTCGGCGAGTCCACACTGTTTAATGAAACCCTAATCCCCTGGGTTTGGAGCCTATTTAAGGGCACTTATAGCCTCCCATTGCGGCTACCAGTCCCTTGAGAGAACCCTAAGTGAGCCAAATCCTTGTGAGGGAGAAGAAGTCACT